GTTGCAGAGTTGTTACTTTTCAACTAGGGAGCTTTCCTGGGAACTTTCCATGATGTGCTGGACGTCTAAAGAGCTTTGGACAATATGTAGGATACAGCTGCCATAACTCATTGTGACCAATGAACAGAGAGAACAAAATGGATAGAGAAGTTGAAGATCAAAGATTCCGGCAGGACACGCATATCTGCGATTGGTGATGAATTTCACTGCATTAGAGAAAGCTGGCTGACTTCAAAAGATGCTGAACCTCCTGGCAAGGCATAGCAATAACCCCCCAAAGTCAGCGTGCTATGACACTTGCAGTTTCCCTCAATGTGAGACAGCACTGATTGCGCTGCCAAATGCCAGCTAAACAGATTTATTTTCTCTGAGACCACTTTTTCTCTCCCTTGAAGCCTTCTCTGTGCTTTCCTGTGAGGTGTAGTAATAAGCAAAGTTGGTAGCATGGCTCTGAAGGAGGTCTGCATTACAGCTGGGCAAAAAGTAATTTTGCTGTTCTGTTACAATATTTTACATTCTGCAGTATAGTCCCCTTACACAGATAAAAACACCCAAGATCTAAAAAAAACCCCTAAACCTTGAGAGACTAAAACTCATATTGTCATAGAATCATGGTATGGTTTGACTTGGAAGGGACCTTAAAGATCATCTTGTTTCAAACTTCCTGCCATGGGCAGAGACACCTTCCACTAGACCAGAATGTCAGAGCTCTATTCAAGCTGGCCTTGGACACTTCCAGGGATGGGGCAGCCACAGCTTCTCTGAGCAGCAGTTTTAAAGATTGAATTGCATGAAATGAAACATTTGATGCCACTAACTGTAAAACTTTTATTTTTAGCAAATATTGATTTTTTTTTATCTTTACTGAGTCTAATTTTCTCAAAACAACACCCTTAATTTTTCTTTTCTGTCACAATATGGCACTTCAGTGATTTCTTTTTTTGACATATGTTGAGTCAGGAGATTAACTGAAACCAGTGTTTTCCCACAGTGTTTTGGTTGCTAGGAACTTGGGGGGGGATGTCCTATGAAAAATTATTTTAAATTTTCTGACCAACTCCATGAAAAATGGTTCACAGCAATGTCCTGTGAATTCTTAAAGCAAAGGCAGCATCAACAGAAGGAGTTAAACACTGTAGATAAGAGCTGGTTGATGAAATGAAGTTGAAGGGTCAGTGCCATCCTAATTCAATCTAGTCATGCAAAACCTCTTGAAAAAGGAGGATATTGGAAAAAATGATCACTAGCTTTTCAGTAGATTGTGGAAAGATGAGAACATCATCCATAGAGACATGACTGGATCCAGTTCTTGGAATACCGCTTGTCTCCTCTCCTCTGGAAATATCATGTGGAAGATGATGAGGAAAGAGCCCCATTTATCAAAATAGGAATGGCTGAAGGTTTCCTACCCTACTGAAATGCCTTAGGAAGAGTGTTAACCCAAGCCAGAAGAGTAACAGATCTTGGCTCTGATTCCCGGCTTCCATAAACTGCAAGGATGAATATTCAATTTTGAGCTTGGATTCAGACAGTTTCAAGAGCAATTATCCATCCATGCTCTGTAATTCAGCTATGAACTGGTCTTCCAACTCTCCTCACATTAACGTCTGAGTTTCTATTTATTTGGATTTCAAAGTCCATTCCTGCTGTTGCCGTCTTGCCTTTTCCTCACACTGCAAACATCCAAGAAGGTACAGGGGAAAGGGGGTTGATCCAGTATCTTTCCTTATTTAAGACAGGAAACGTGTAAGCAGATGATCTATTAATACAACATTTATTAATACCCTCCTCACACACAGGAACCAAAAATCACAAGGCTGGCTTTGAAGCTGGGACTCCCTCACAGCAAGGTTTCCAGCAAAGTGCAGGTGCCTGCCATATGAGCAGCGCAGACCCTGGGACCACGAGTGAGCAATTTGATGACTGCTGTGTGCTCAGTGCCCGGAGTAGATTCATGTCAAGGTGACACTTCCCTGGCTCAGGTCTCCCCTTGTCTCTTACCGAGGAGCTGTAGATATTTTACTCCTGCAGGTTCCTTTTCTTACTTTTTTAGTGCCTGATAGATGTTGTTCCTAAACACTTTTGCAGGTGATTACTGTGGGGAATTAGTAAGCTTCTTATTCACACCTTTCTGTCCAGCCCCTCTTGACTTGCATAATTCATTAAGCCAGAGGAAACAAGGGATCTCACAAAGCCCTGGCCAGCCCCAGAGGGGCTTTTCAATGGTTTAAGTTAATGATCGTTTTGGGAAATGCCTGTGTAGCTGTTAAGCGTTTTGAGTCCCCTCCCATTCTTTCCCCTGTTAATAGGTGATTGTGCCACTGAGACATTGCCCAAGAGAACCCTTAACGTGAAGTATGAGCCTTGTTGCCTGTTGACATGCTGGCTAACAAGGATGAGACATCAGACTTAGGTTCCCAGAAGGAGTGCCTAAATTTTTGTGGTTTTCAAGCACTATAAATTTTGCTTTCTAGCACAGGTGAGGTTTGAACCCCTACCTGCAAACACTCATGTCCCAAGTGTCCCTTTCCAGTAGTAGGGACACTGGTAAAGGAAAATACAGATGTGAAAGAGGCCCTGAAGCCTTCAGACCTGCCAAGTTCCAACCAGTTTCTCAACACCTCCCCAAGGTGGATATGTGGAGTCAAGATATGAATGAAGAAGTAAAGCTTTTTGGCTAAATGATACAGGTCCAGTGATGCTGCTTCAAGGGAGTGAGCTCAAACTCTTGGGCAATGTCCACGCTTTTCACGTTTCAAAGGAGCATTCCCAGGTGCCTTAGTTTGCTTTTGGTCCTCAGATTGGTCCCTTGCATATTTTTGGCCTTGGCTCACCAGCATCTGTCCAAACAGTTTCCAGGCACCGTTGGGCAACCAGCACGGCAGGGCCATTCCCAGCTGGCAGTTTGGATATAGCTGCTCTGTTTTGGAAAGTCGGAGAGTTTAATGAATGGATGCAGGTATTTCTGTGCCAGTTGGCCTCCAGGCTAGAGAACAGTCCAGGTTTAATTTTCTAAAAGAGACACAGCCTCAGGTCTCCTCCTTATCTCTGCCATTAACTTCCTGGGTAGTGAGGGCTTGGCTGTTTACCTATAAAAACGACTTTGTGAAAATGGAGCTTGCATGAAAGAATGGTTTCAAAGACTATTTATTATGAATATGGTTCTTTTTAACCTAACAAGTCATTCACAAAGTGATCTTGGCCTCCTTGAACTGAGTTAGTGTTCAGAGACATTCACTGATCATTTACAGCAAGAAACATTCAGCCTCTGGTTTGTTTTCTTTGCTTCCTTTTTGCAGTGGGGACCGGCCAGCTGAGAGATCTGCTTTTGTTTTTCCTCTCCTCGATTTGATGATTGAAGCTTTTCAAACAGAACTACAACACACAGCAAATATCCAGGATGAATTTCTAGATAAATAAACACTTGGGATGAGGTTATTTTGAAGAATGGCAGTGTCAGTGCCTCCAAATGGCAAATAATAGAGTGAACTGAGCCCATACATTTTTCTTCCTGGAGCTGGAGAACTGCTATCCCTCCTGTTAACCTGTTTGGTGGCCTTTCCTGGTGCTTCTGAAGCACTGGGAAAGACACAGTTAGGGCTGGCTAAGGGTCAGTCCAGGTCCACTGTGAGAAAAAGGAGACACGTTGCCCTGAAGTGGGGTGAGGATCACTCCAGGTCTGGCTGTTCGTAGGGTGTGGACTCAGGGGAGGTCAATCCCTTGCAGGGATGTCCACACTCAGCCTTTCCCAGGCGGGGATGGCTCGGGAGACGTGCCGGAGGCGGGCTTGTGTTGCCTAAGCATAGCTCTTGGCTCCACTGCTTGCTCATCTGTGGCTTTGCCTTCGCTCACTTGTTTCCTCAGATGAGTTCCTCTGCCTGCTTATTTGTGTTAGGAAAATTATCGTTCTTGTGTTTCGGTCTGTGTCGCTTCCTCTGGGCCTGTTTTGTTATTGCACCGAGGGATGTCTCCAACGAAGTGGACGGAAGGAGGAGGACTCAGGGCTTATTTTTATCCTATACATAGGAAGTTGGCCAGGATAGGGAAAAACAGAGCAGAAAGTCCTCAGAGCACTTCCACCCCTCGGGGCTGGAGACAGCAGTCCCCACAGACCTGGCTCAAATGTTCCACTGCTGCCCAGGGACGCTGCAGAGGGAGGGGAACTTTCTCCACAGTTTTGCTTGTTTGTTTTTGAAAGGAAGAGCGTGTGTTGCTTCCTGCCACAAGGATGGGGCTTTCTGCCCTGCCATTGCTGCCATCCATGCTTCTTTTATTAAGGAATTGAACCTCAGACTACCGGACTGACTTAAAAAAAAAAAGGGAATTTGTTATATGTGTGTAGGTAGTGTGACAGCACCAAGGGGCCCTGACAGGGCAGTTACATCACACTTTTCTAAAGGGATGTGATACCTGGTCCAATGAGCCACAAAACCAAACTGAACAGACAGAATCAAGGCAGCAACACAGGGCAGAAATGAAGAAAAATGTAGTGATTATGCTGGTACCAAAGATAAGGGGATAGGATTAACCCAGACCTTGTGGTTTTTTAGTTTGATAGGAAAAAGGGTGATGGCTTTAAGCCAAAGGAGAGTAGGTTTAGGTTAGATATTAGGAAGAAATGCTCTACTATCAGGGTGGTGAGGCTTGGCACAGAGAAAATGTGGCTGCCCCATTCCTGGAAATGTCCAAGGATGTGTTGGAGTAACCTGGTCTAGTGGAAGGTGTCCCTGCCTGTGGCAGGGGGTTGGAATGAGATCTTGAAGGTCCCTTCCAACTCAAACCATTCTGTGATTCTACGATTCTGTGGTTCTGTGATTCTATGATTAATGGCTCATTGGATCTCGCTGTCATCATAGAAATTTTGGGGAAACTGAGGCACATGTTTTAAGACTAGATGTTTGCCTTGCATTCCCATTTTCTTTGTATCACTTAATCTCCTTTCCAGAAGACTGCAGGCTGTATTTTTGCCTTTTTTTATTTTTTTTATTTTTTATTTTCAGTGGTGACATCCAAGGAGAGGAGCAACAGACCAGACAGTCGGAACTCTCCCACGCAACTTCCCTGGCACAGACCAGCATCACCACTGAGCATCTCCCTCCTCTGCTGCTGGTCCTGTCACACAGCTGGGCTTCAAAAGAGGATGCTCCTCTCCCACGTGCTTCAAAGAGAAACCAGGAGCCACAGAACAATTACTCCCACTCACAAGACGAGGGGAAATCCTCTTCTAACAAGGGATCATCCTGTTACAACGAGGATGTCTGGTGATTTATGACTTGCTGCTTTAAACTCTCCTTCCCCTCTGAAGAAACACAGGAGACAGCAAAGCTGGAGGGAGATACAAGAGAGAACTGACATTGGCAATACTTGAAATATAGTGGGAGAGCTGGGAAAGCCCTTTCTTTCTGTCCTCATTAGCATGACTTAATTAATACTTATAATCTTATCAAACAGAGGTTGCCATGCAGGAGGGATGAGCAGGCTGGAAATCAAAGCTTTAATAACTAGATATTTTAAGACCAAAAAAGCACCACTGTAATTTTGCCTGGCTTCCTGTGTAATTGATGCCAGAGACAGACCTTTTCAACTGAAAAAAAAAAAAAAAAGTGGATATAATGGGAAAGTGTAATTATTGTGATATTTTTGGGTAAAACTTGTAACAAGAAAACTTTGAGTGGTTTATTCTGCAAAATCCAACTTATCTGCACTTGATTGGATTCCATTTTCATTTTCTACTCTTAAATGTCCTCTAAATACCAAAGACTGCATGCTCTGTAGAGCTTATACATCCATTTTCCTAACCTTTTTTTCTCTTATTGGCTCCAACTTTAGAAAAAATATCTCAACCTGGGGGAAAAAAAAAATTGGCTTTTTTTTTGACACTGAAAAACTCTTGCAACTTACATTAAATACTGCAAAAATTAATATCTCTGCCATCGGTTCTGTTATTGTCTCTGACATTTTTACAGATATCCCATCTCATTTCATTTGTGTTGTTTTTGTGCCTTAGCCTGGGTCTTAGGAGGGGTGACACCTCTAAATCTCCAGAATATTTTGTCATCTTGATGTCTGTCGTGGCAGTCAGACAAGTTGTCCCCACAGGAATCAAGAGAAAACAGAGCTGAAGCAGAAGGTCTTCTGTCACCCATGAAAACTGAGTGCCAGGCCAGCTTGTGTTAGGAGCAAGTTCATCCAAAGTAGCTTTTGAATATAGAGAAGGCCTTGATTTTAATCCAGTCTGAGTCCATCAGTCTCAGAGGATTTTTACACCAGCATCACTGAGATTTGAATTTGCACCAGAATGTTAAGCACAGGCCATTAACAGGACAGATTTCTCAGTGCTAAAGGGGGAGAGAGTAACTGTGAATTATAAAGCCACATCCTTACTGGCAGCTATAAATTTGGATAAACCTCCTCCCCCAGTGCTCTGGATTCTCACATGCTGTCTCATCAGGCTGCTTCCCTCTCACTTATGAAATATATTACAGTAGCCAAATTACCAGGGGATGAATGACCTCAATAAATTCAGTCATTCTGCTCTAAGAGAAGATACCATGCTGTGGAGAACAGAGTGAGAATGCATTTTTTCTCCCCAGACTTGCCATTATTCCCATTGTGTGTCAATTTTACTGGCAGGTGATTTTTTTTTCCTCCCTTGGTTGGCCCCAATTTGAATTTTTCCATTCTGCTTCCCACTGTAAATGCCTTTTCCAATCACTGTATTTTAGTTTATATCAATGAAGTCTGTACAGGGTAAGAGAATAAAGCAGGACAGGTCCTCAGCTGGTGTATATCTACCTTGCTCAACACATTTCAAGAAACTCTGTGCTGCTCTGACAGCTCAGGACCCATGCAGTGCCATGAACATTGGACATAATCCTACCTTATTTTTTTGTAGACAGACTTGTTAAGCTGTGCATGGGAGAAGTTGTCCCCTGAGTTATTAGAGGAATTTGATTGTTTCTTCTTCTTCTTGTTTTTTTTGTGGGTTTGTTTTTTTTTTTTTTTTTGGCATCATGTACCTATAGAAAATTGCAGAATGGTTTGGGTTGGAAGGGGCCTTAAAAATCATCCAGTTCCAACTCCCCTGCCATGGGCAGGGACATCTTCCACTGGAGGTACCCCTTCAATCAGACAAAATTAAATATTTATTTCTGGAGAAAAATTTTTTACAGATTCAGAATCAGTCCATCTTCACCTAAAATTCAGCAAATGCTTTTCATCTTCCTGGTAACTTGACTTGGTGGGTGCTATAAGCAAAGAGCCTGGGGCAATGGGATCTGAGAGGCTCCCAACAGCAGCAAGAGAAGTTCAAATCTCACTGGGCAAAATATCCTGAGCAACCTGGGAAAAACCTCTAAATGGCAGTGGAGGCAGAAAACAGGTGAAAAAATCTCTACCCCAACTCCCTTAGCACTGTGGGTTTTTTTTTTTACAAAACCTTGTCAATATTAATGTAGCTTTTCTTCCAACTGAGAGCAAACAGAGAGGACTAAAAGTTTATTTCAGCCTCCATCCAGACAGCTCCAACCTTTCTGAGGAAACAAATGCACAAATCCTGTGCTGGCTGAGAGCAGAGGAGCTGCAATTTCTGTCAAAGAGACAATTTAAAACAAACCAACAAACTGATAATGAAAACTAAATTCATTACTCCTTTAATATAGCCCCCCAAAACCCCCCAAACAAACCACCAACCATGGGCAGCATCTGTAAGAATCATGGAATTATAGAATCATAGAATGGTTTGTGTTGGAAGGGACCCTAAAGATCTTCCAGTTCCAGTCACTGCTGCTCTGGTTCAATGCCAAGTGAATCACCACCATGACTGGAACTGACTCTTGCCTCACCCACTTATAACTAAGTAAAACGGGGATGTCTGTTCTGAACTTCTCATGGAGTCTGCTCCTGAAGCATCTGCAGTAAGACTGACACTTGCTGTTGGGGGATGATCTCACACCATGACACCCCGAGGGGTCCTAATGCCAAAATGACACGATGAAGAACCGTCACCACAGAACTTGGAAACATTAAGGATCAGGGCTCTGAATGACCTGGTCTCGCTGAAGATGTCCCTGCTTATTGCAGGGGGGGGTGGAATAGATGAACTTAGAAGGTCCTTTCCAACACAAACCATTCTATGACTTTATGACCTTCAACATTTGAGACTTGATGGCTTGAGAAAGGTCTCACTGATGGATTTGATCCCATTCTTGCACGCAGAGGAGGACCTGTGGTGTTTGCTTTCTCCCCAGCCAGTGATCTGGATCCCTTGCCAGCTGAAGAGCCTCAGTCCCAACCCTCAGAGCCAACCATGGGGCTTGAGAACCACTTTGACCATTGCAGCTCAGACCTTGTGGGGACAGTAAGTCTTCATTTTGTGCACTCTGCTTTTATGTGAGAGCAAAGCATGTGAAAAGGCTCTTCCCTAATTTCTGACCAGAGTAGTAGCTCCACAACTCATTACCAAAGTCAGCAGTGTTGCAGTACTGGAAAGTTCATTCCCTTTTGCTTATCATTAAGATCAGAGATGGAGGGATATAAACTAAAAGACAGCGGCAGAACAGCCCTCATTCTTCTAGGATGAAGAAAAAGTGTGGAAGGTCTGATGCAGGAAAGCAAGAACCTCCCAGAAAGTGCTGGAGCTTCAGTGAAGCTTCATTTCAGGTGATGTTGGAGCTGTCACTGAGCAGGGCTGTGGTGGTGGCTGCAAGAGCATTCATTGCCCTTAGTTCTCAGAGGCAGAAACCCACTGTGAGGTCTTCACACTAGAGCAAGAAAGTCTTGCAGCTACAGTTGCCCATGGTTACTCCACTTCCTGGTAGATTTGTGGTTATTCTTGCACAATTTTAGTTTCCCGTCTGGCATTCTTGGTATTATCAATGTCAGCTTTTTCTCTCTTATCGGGCATAAGACAAGATGCTCTGGATAACACCTCATCAGCTTCCAGCTTGATTCTTTCTCCCTCTGACATTCACCGTGGTCTCACAGGAAAGGGCCAAGAGTATTCTCAGGTGTATTAGGAGGAGCATTGTCAGCATATTGAGGGAGGTGATCCTGCCCCTCTGCTCAGCCCTGGTGAGGCACATCCAGAGTGCCACGCCCAGTTCTGGGCTCCTCAGGACAAGAGAGACAAGCAGCTCCTGGAGCAGGTTCGGCAGAGGGTGACAGAGATGATGAAGGGACTGGAGAATCTCTCTGACAAGGAAAGGCTGAGCTGGGGCTGAGCACTGAAACAGATTGTCCAGAGAGGGTGTGGAGTCTCCCTCACTGGAGATATTCCAGGACTGCCTGGACGCAATCCTGTGCCAAGTGCTCTGGGATGGCCCTGTTTGAGAAGGGAGGATGGACCAGATGACCCACTGTGGTCCCTTCCAACCTGACCCATCCTGTGGTTCTGTAATTCTGAGATAATTTGAAACATGCTCTGTTTGAGAAGGCCAAAGGCAAATCGGTAATGCAGACACCAGTGTTCTGCCCATGCTGCTGTGACAAAGGAAAGGTAGTTTATGTGGGATTCCCTTAAGGGTTGTTTCACCTTACATTGTCACTGTTAAAAGAGAGTAGTGTTTTTGGTTTATCTTCTCTTTTATGACATATAAAGGTCGGGAGAAAACAGGATACAACATTAATAGAAAGCTAAAGTTTTGCTTTACAGCCGAATCCTTTCATAATGGTCTTAAAATCTCAGTGACTGCAAAGATTGCAGGAAGGGGTGATATCTTCAGTTTGCTGATTTCAGCTGATAAAGTTGCAGGGGAGGGAGAAAAACTGCTTAAGGGCACATGAGTCTTTCTTTAAATCTCTGTAGATTTTGAAATGTCATTGTTCCCTGATTTACCTCATGAAACATAAACTTTACTAAACATGGTACATTAACGACAAGGTGTGCAAATGTGCCTTTTCAACTCTGAAACAGAGTTGCTTCTGTTCCAGACAGAGCTACCTCTTTGGACCCAAGATGACAAATAATTCAAGTTTAAACATAGGTAGTTGTTTGTAGGCCCCAAGACACTTCATGGTGAATTCATTCCAGCTCCTTTTCTCAATGTCCCCATACAAATAGGACCAAAATGTCAATGCCAGGAACAAGAGAGGAGACAGTTACGTACAGTCTGAGGATATGAAGCCACAGTGACTTTTATATATACATAGACACATGTATATATGTATGTATTTATATATATAAATTAGGAACCTTGAAACTTAAATCCACATGCCAGAAAGCCTGCAAACAGACAAAAAGCTGAGGGCATTTTGGAAGAAAAGGATATTGCTGCCTGCCAGTGTGAGTATAAACTGCCTATAGGTTTAGTATCTGATGCTTTAGGGGTTTGAGATTTTCAGCTGGGTAGTTTTCATCTAAATAGAAGTCAGGTGTTTTTCAAAAGGCTGCCTTTTTT